TGTCCACAGACACAAGCTGGAGGTCACAGCAGCTCCATGCACAGGAGAGAGGACAGCAGGGATGTCCACAGACACAAGCTGGAGGTCACAGCAGCACAGATCTGGGGACGAAGTGCTGGAGAATGTGGGTTGGCATCTATGTCTCGGCGGGTGGAGGGGAAGACCCTCAGCACCACACCTGTAGAGCTGTGTCCTCACCACTTTCCTTCTTGCCTCAGGAGGAGTGTCAGAACTACGTGCGAGTCCTGATTGTCGCCGGCCGGAAGGTGTTCATGTGTGGCACCAATGCCTTTTCCCCTGTGTGCTCCAGCAGACAGGTGGGCAGCCCAGGGCAGGCGGGCAGAAGGAAGGTCTGTCACCTGGGCACACAGCCTTGGGATGGGGTTGCCAAATATAACAGAAAAAAAACCAAACCTCAAATCAAAACTGAAAAGGATTCCCAGACTGATTCAAATTTCAGGAATTTTATAATATCTTAGCGTAAGTATGTCCTGAGCAATATTCGGGACAAATTAGTACTATGAAACATTCATTCTTTATCTGAAATTCCAATTTAACAGGGCCTCCTCTATTTTATTGTCAGCCTTGCCTTGGAAGGTGCACCTGCTAGTCCAGGTGAGCTCCTGGCAGAACCTCACCCTCCGTGAGGGCCACTCCTTCAGAGGGACTGTGGTGTGGGCAGTGACAAGGATGCTGAGAAGGGGAGAAGGCCAGAAGGACCAGGGACCTAGGAGGAAGCAGAACTCGGGGGTGGAAAGAACAGGCAGCCCCAGGCCTTAGGGAAAAGTGTCCCCTTCTTCTCATCGGCCCCAGGTGGGGAACCTCAGCCGGACTATCGAGAAGATCAATGGTGTGGCCCGCTGTCCCTACGACCCACGCCACAACTCCACAGCTGTCATCTCCTCCCAGGGGGAGCTCTACGCAGCCACAGTCATCGACTTCTCAGGCCGGGACCCGGCCATCTACCGCAGCCTGGGCAATGGGCCACCACTTCGCACAGCCCAGTATAACTCCAAGTGGCTCAATGGTAAGCAGCCCCAGGAGTGGTTCCCTCCTCACTCCTAACAGCTCGGCATGGGCTCACACTTGCTTCATTAAGGAAGAGGCCCAGGACAGGGCAGGTGTTTGTCCAAAGACCAAAGCTTATTGGAGATGGGTCCCAGATGAAATCACAGATATCCAAGGAACAAGAATAGATGGAGGACAGGCAATTAGGGAAGAGAGAATGTAGGAAATGGCTAGTAAAAGTGGTTATGGGAAAGAACCTATTGGGGGAGGAGTGATATGAACTTCTTGTTTCTTTGGACCGAATCCCTGCTTCTTCATTAACTAGCTGTGTTGCCTTGAGCAAGTACTTAACCTCTCTGTACCATGTTATTCTCATGTGTAATATAGGGATAATTCTCATACTTACTCATAAATCATAATGAGAATTAAATGGGTTAGTCCACATAAAGTTCTTAGAATATTGACTGGCACCCACCGTACAGCTATTATTATGGCTGTGCTTTTTACTGGATATGGAAACAAGATTATTAGAACCCTTGGGTCACCAAGCTGGTGGGAGGATAGTGTCAGGATGCCCATCTGGGAACACCAAAGTAGGTGAGTCTTCCCAACTCTGCCCTCTTCTTCCCTGCTGGTCTCACCCACCCCTGTTCCTCTCCGCTCATTCCCCAGAGCCAAACTTTGTGGCAGCCTATGACATTGGGCTGTTTGCATACTTCTTCCTGCGGGAGAACGCGGTGGAGCATGACTGTGGGCGCACCGTGTACTCTCGGGTGGCCCGCGTGTGCAAGAATGACGTGGGGGGCCGCTTCCTGCTGGAGGACACCTGGACCACATTCATGAAGGCACGGCTCAATTGCTCCCGCCCGGGCGAGGTCCCCTTCTACTACAATGAGCTGCAGAGTGCCTTCCACCTGCCAGAGCAGGACCTCATCTACGGGGTCTTCACCACCAACGTGTGAGTCCCTGCCCTTTGCCGCCCCTTGCCTGCAATGTCAGGGCCTAGCTCTGGCCTGACTTTGCAGCCTGGTGGGCTCAGACCGGCCCCTTAGAGTCCTTGTCTCTTCATGTATAAGGTGGGGTGGCTGCACCGGGTCCTCTGAGGATTCTGTGGTTTGCTGCTCTGGAGTGGTTAGCCCTTGGTCTGGGTTGCTGAAAAGGGCAGGTTTGGGCCAGATGTGCAGAAAGCAAGAGGAGCTGGAGCATGACTCATGGAGGGAGAACTTGCTGGTGATGAAAGAAAAGAATCCTGCCTTTGATGAGGAGGTGGCAGCCCTGGAGGGCCCWGTAGCCCCTCAGGGAGGCTCAGCAGGGATTCTCTATGGCCCCTCTCACCTTAGGACTCCATGACTTTGCTAAATCAGCCAGCAGTGTGTCCTGACAATCCCGCCATCACCTTCTGTCTAAACTGCACTGAAAACCACAGGCTGGGATTTGGAGTCCCTTTTGCTTCCTTTGGTGTGAGGAAGGGTGACCTTACAGAGATCGTGAGACCCTCTTCCTCCTCCCAGGAGACACTATCAGATCAGGTAGTTTTCACAGAGAGTGATGGATGGCACCAGACCAAGGCCAATATTTGCTGTAGTGGATGCTGTGCAGGGTTCTCTGTAAGGATGTTTGAAACCTGGGAGCCACAGAGCGGTTTCTGCTTGCAAGGTAGCAGGCCTTGCATGGGGACCAGGCTAGCCACAGAAATGACATTCTGAGGGAATAAGCAGGGACAAAGGTAGAGAGGCCACCCAGTCAGAGGCAGGAGGACAGGCATATAGCACAGCTCTCACAAGCTGACCAGGACCGGACCGGCTCTCAGCACCGGAGAGTGAGTAGCCGTGAGCAGCTAGAGATGCATCAAGAAAAAATGACGATGTCAGTGTGGATTGTAAATAGTTTATTTATTGTGCGTCTCCTCCATGTCAGGGGCTTGTCCCAGGGTGGACTGGGTACCAGTGAGCACAGGCAGGGGTGGCTCCATATTGTATATTAAAGAAATCTATTTGAATAGGGATATTGGGCTCCAGAGGGTACAATCAATATGCAGCAATGCCTTTAACAGCCAGTAAGGCGGCACTAGGGAAGACTTCCTGTAGGAAGTGACAGGAAGTGATGGGATGAGAAGACCATTCCAGCCCCAGGGAATAATGCACGCAAAGTTTTGGGATGGGAAGAAATGTTTTAGAACTGAGCAGAGAACAGTGTGGCAGGTGCTTTGAGAATGAAGGGGAGAAAGACAAGAGAGGAGGCTAGAGGTAGGACAGGGATGATTCTGTCCTAAGAGCCTTGGAGAAGAAGGGTTTCGATCTTTATCCTAAGGACAAGAAGTTACTGAAGGGTTTGAGGCAAGCAAGGAGAATGTTGGATGTGCATTTTTGAAATGCTCGCTCTGGCACTTGCAAGCCAAATGAATTAGGATCCTACAAAGGTTATAGGGAGACCACCAGGAAGACAGCTGGAACCAGGCAGAGGTGGAAGGACATAGACACATTTGGGACAGGGACCACGTGCAGAGACTAGAAGTGGACAGGTTGGTGTAGTGGTGTCATCTCTGTATTGTTCACCCCATGCTCATGGATATCTGTGATTCTGGGACTGAAAGGATCTTAGAGATCATTTGGCTCAGGGTGTCACAGGTTCCAGCATAAACCAGTAGATTGGTAACCAGCTATTTAATAAATAAATAAAGCAGGTGCTGGGTGAGGTGGTGCATGCCTGTAATCAAAGCAGCTCGGGAGGCTGAGGCAGGAGGATCATGAGTTCAAAGCCAGCCTCAGCAAAAGTGAGGTGATAAGCAATTAAGTGAGACCCTGTCTCTAAATTAAATACAAAATAGGGCTGGGAGTGTGGCTCAGTGGTCAAATGCCCCTGAGTTCAATCCCTGGTACCTGCCCCTCCCCCGAAAAGCAGAATAGAATGAAATAAAAATGCTCAATATAACATATTTAGTGTGGATTAGTATTATTTCATGAAACTTTAATATAGATGTGGGTATTATAGCAAGATGTGATGTAAAATATGTTTTATACTGTGGGCCAGGGACTAACATTTTAAAACCACTCACTATCCTTTCACCTCCCACTGGATAAGGGAACGGGATGAGGAGGTAGCCCAGAGGGACCCGCCAGTGCTCTTGTCAGTAGAACTTTCCCCAGGGGTTGCTGGGTGTGAGGACCACGTCTCCTTCTGTAACACCTGCAAGCTGCAGAAGTCACCAGGCTCATCCTAGGTTCTTCCGAAGCCCAGGGGATTGGGCATGACAGCTGGCTGCGTGACTTCAGGAGGGTGCTAGGGTCTACAGGGAGGGCAGTTTCCCACCATCTCTTGTCTTTCAGAAACAGCATCGCCGCTTCTGCTGTCTGCGCCTTCAACCTCAGTGCCATCTCCCAGGCTTTCAATGGCCCGTTTCGTTACCAAGAGAATCCCAGGGCTGCCTGGCTCCCCATTGCCAACCCCATCCCCAATTTCCAGGTACAGCCTCTCCTGCTTCCTCCACCAACTACCAGCCACAACCTGATACCCAACTGCTTACCCCAGATGAGCACCAGCCCTGTCTCTGCTGATCTATACCCATCACTGGGGTTCGTGATGGTTCCCTAACAGGAGGGTAACCTCTCAGACTGTGTGTAAGAAGGGGAGAGTGGGTGAGAGGTAGAGCCAGGGGACCTGCTCTGAACCACTTCTCACCCTGCCCCCAAGAGGCAGGGTGTGGGACCTCAGCTCTACAAAGTGTCAGGGGCTAGGAGAGCACTACACAAGCAAACTGCAGCCAGAATTTGGAGCTAGGGTGTGTTCATAGAGTGTCTAGCATGGGTATGTAGGCCTACAGGGTCTCTGAGTGCTGGAGTAGGTAAGGGCCAGTCATGGATAGTTGATCATCCCCCATCTTGTCATTAAAAGAGGAAACAAGTGGGCAGGTGAGGCTACTACTGATGGTTGACTTTCATGTCCATCCAACTCCCTGCCCCAGGTATGGTGTAGAGCAGGGAAAGACCTCAGGCTTTGCAGTCCAACGCTCCTGACCCAGATCTAGCCTGTCTCTGTGTGACTTTGGGCAGATCACCCAACCTCCTTGAGTTTCTTTTTCCTTATCTGTAACTAGAAATAATGCCATTATAGAAATGCCTCATAGATATGTGCAAAGGTTGATATGCCTGGAAGGTAGTAGGTGCTTAATAAAAGGTGGTTTCCTTTTAGCTCGAATTAGAAGGCATAAGAACTTTAGTGGAGATTTAGAAGAGAGAAAATAAAGCTTGGCCCAATGTGATGGAGAGGCACCTATGAAAGCATAAAATCACAACACACGTGTCCACACTCAAATTATTTCTTTAGAGACAGTTCAGACCTCTTGGCCTTCCTCCTTTCTCTGGTTCCTCCTTCACCAATTTCCCAGCTTCATTTTCTCTTAGTTCCAAAGAAGAGGCGTTCTTCCCAGGAAAGAGGTCAGAGGACCCAGCAGCAATAATAGGTTCAATGGTGTCACCCAGGGCTGGGCAGGGCGGGGACTGGGGTGGGTGGGTCAGTGTTGGAGAATTAGCATCTGCTGGGAACACTGAGGAAGGGTGTGGAGACAGTATATTGGCAGCCCTGTGGCAGGGCTGGGTACATGTGACCTGGCTGCTTGGTTCCTTGAGACAGTGTGGCACCCTGCCAGAGACGGGCCCCAACGAGAACCTCACAGAGCGCAGCCTGCAGGATGCCCAGCGCCTGTTCCTGATGAGTGAGGCTGTGCAGCCAGTGACACCTGAGCCCTGTGTCACTCAAGACAGTGTGCGCTTCTCACACCTCGTGGTGGACCTCGTACAGGCCAAGGACACGCTCTACCATGTGCTCTACATCGGCACAGGTGAGCTGGCCGCGCCCATCCTGGGCTGCAAGTGGGGGAGGTGGTTGCAGGGCTGGGCTACGAGGTTCCCCATCCTTCAAGGTCACCTTCCTCTGGACCCCCAGAGTCAGGCACCATCCTGAAGGCGCTGTCCACCGTGAGCCGCGGCCTCCGCGGCTGTTATCTGGAGGAGCTGCACGTGCTGCCTCCCGGGCGACATGAGCCCCTGCGCAGCCTGCGAATCCTGCACAGCGCCCGAGCGCTTTTTGTGGGGCTGAGCGACGGAGTCCTACGGGTCCCTCTGGAGAGGTGCGCCGCCTACCGCAGCCAGGGGTAAGTCAGCAGCGGGAAGGAGGGAGGTGGCCCCCCAGTCACACCTCGGAGGTGGTGCTAAGAAGGGAGTCTGGGCCATCTATGGCATCTCGGAGGTCTTCAGTGTGTGCCTTTGGACAAGTTACTTAACCTTTCTGTACTTTAGTTTCCACCTTGTAAAGTAACTTGTGGGGGTTTTGTGGGGGTTAATTGGGATAACTGCATAAAAGACGATCACTGACTGCAGGAAGCAGTTGTTTAGCAAATTGTGGAGGATGTTGTTGTCCCTGTTGGCAACCCCATGGTTAGAGCCCATCAGCCATCTCTAAACCACTTGATTTRTTATTCTCAGTCCCTGCAGTTCAGAGAGAGACCTTTATCTTTGAAACCACAGTAATTATCGCCCAGATGTGGGTGCAGATGGGAGATAATGCTTTGAGTCAGCTCAAGTCTTCACCCCTCTTCCTTCCCTAGAACAGGAAGAGAGAGCTGGTGTGGTGGGTGGAAGTAAGAAACCACCTGGAGGAGTTCCCCTGGGTTTCCACTGCTTCTGAGATTGGGTCTCCATACCATAGCTTCAAGTGGAGTCAAAGATGTGGCAACAGTGCCACCAATTCTAAGGGGAAAATTGAAGCCAAAAGGAAATGCATTCCAGACTCCAACCAAGTGAAGCTGTCCTCCTTTTTGAGAGCGTCAAGACTTGGCATAGCCTCAGCCACATGGACTTTCTGTGGCCTTTGCAACAGAGAGTCCTCCTAGCTCTGCCATCTGTCCTTGAGATTTGGGAGACAAATGGTATCTGTGCTGCCAAGGGTTGTTCTCCAGTCCTGGTGGAGTGTGCTGGAAGCTGGATAGAGGCCTGCAGGGCAGGGGAAGAGGCTGCATGGTCATGAGGAAGCAGCCAAGGAGCGGGAGGGCAGTGGGCAGACTCAGGCTCCCCAAGCCCCACACACATGGCTCTATCAGCCAAACAGCACATATTTACCAAGTCCAGCCATGTTCAGGGCACTTTGCAGAACTCCTGGTGTGAGAGGAAACAAGATGAACCAGCCTGCAATACTTGCTTCACTCAAAGCTCTGGATATCTGGGTAGGGAAAGGAACCCCAGCCTCTCTCTGTCATATGGAGAGAGAAGGATGTATTAGGAAGGATTTGTGATGGAGTTAGACACACCTGGAGATCCATCACAGCTTCATCACCTACTGATTGTATGATCTCGAGTAGGTCACTTAACCTTTTTGAGCCCTGACTCTCTCATCAGGAAAAATGGCAGGAAATTTGATGGAGTGCATGATGCACAGTTGTTATAAGGATTGAGACTGGTGTTCATGAAGTGCCTAGTTTAGAAAAATCATAAGTGGTGGCTAGTACATTTATTCCTGTTTTTGACCTCCCTAAGCTCATTTAGGAGTCCCCCAGCCCCAACCTCCTGGGGTTAGAATCTGTGATGTTGAATATGTGATATTGAGTCTGTGACGCTGGCCTTGAGTGAAAAGTCACCTGCTTGACAGCATTCCCCCATCTCTTGTGTTCTTAACGCTTGTGTTATTAAACTTTTCACATGCACCTTGTTCTCCAAGAGGTTGTAAATCCCACAACACAAACCCAGTGCCCCAGTATTTTTTATGTTCTACCAGGAACCCTCCTCACCCAGTTGAAGGCACAACATGGCCTTCCGCACAGGACTGATCTTTCTGCTGGCTAATTATTTGGCCTAAAAGGAGGTTGGTGCAGGAGAGATGTGAGAAATAGGACTGAAAAGTGGATTGAGGCCAGCTGAGAACGTCAAGGGAGGATTTGGACTTGAATCCTGTGGCTGTGGGCACTGAGGTGGTCATGGAACAGGGGGTGGAGCCTCAGGCTGCCCAGAAAGGTGTTTTACAAGGATGGATCAGACAGGAGTGAGCAGCACCATCATGGGGCAGATGGACGTCCCCAGTGAACTAGTGTGGCTCTAACCCAGACATAAAGTCTGGGGTCTGCAGTGGAAAGAGGAAGGGAATGTGCTGGGCCATTTCCCCACTCATGCTCTTCTTTGGGGAGATAGGGAGGTTGTGTATGGGGCCTGATGCACTCCTATCCTGGAGAACATGGCAGACAATCAGTTTGGAGTTGGACGTTGCTATCCTATTTCCTGAGTTTGGGATAGAAGTCCTTGAAGTATATGGTGAAAACCATGGCATAAAACTCTAAGTTTGGTCCAGAAACTATAAAAAGCAATTCATATTACTGGAAGATTAATAAAATGACCCAAGCAAGGACATGCAGCCACCAGGCTGTGCACTCCAGATGTCTGGGAGCCAACTGCCAATCACAGTTTATCCGAATGTGCACTATTGTGGGGTGCCTATCACAGGGTTTTACTGTGGCCTAGGATGGCGATTTCATGCTTGTTTCCTCATTCCTTCCAAGACTAGCAGGAGGATGAGGGGGGTAAGCAGAGGTGCTGGTGGGCCCCCTCCTCTGCCCAGAATCCAGAGGCTTATCTCCGACTGCTTCCTTTCATTGGGGCAAATCTCAGCCCCACGGGGCACAGCCAAGACAGGGGACTGGCCAGAGAGGACCAGGGCTCACATGAGGAGGAGCAGGAGGAATGTGGGAGTCTACAAAGTAGACGTAAGCATCTATGACTCCTTCCTCCTTCTGGCAGGCCTTTCTCCCTGCCCTTGGGAGAGGGGATCCTCTACCCAAGCTCATTCACAGGTCCCCTCAGCCTGCTCTGTGAGGGCAGCAGAGGCCCACACTCGGAGTGCATCTTCTCCTGACCAGGCCCCATTCCTCTACAGTCTTAAGTAACGACCACTTGCTCACAGCCTCAGGGTGCCGTTTCTACCTTGGACAGCTCCCCCCGTGYGCCTATTGCTAGAGGAGCTGGAATCTGATTGCTTACAATGTCCGCCATCCATCTCTGTCCTGCCTGTGAGCCCATGCAATGAACCTGTTCCCTTTTGCAACGGCTGCTGGAGATGGTGCAGTAAAGAAGGCGTGGTGACACATTACTGGCCTGATGGCTCCTTTTATGAAAAGAACTCTAAATCACCTCCCCTGTCTACAGTCAGAGACACGCTTCAACTCTCTTCTGCTTGGAGCTTTTTCTTAAGGGTGTCCTCTGTTTTGTCAGCTTTAAAGTGGCCTTTGGCCAAAAACAGTGAATGTGGATCTACCTGAGCCAAGGAGGCAGTCATTCTGTTTAGTTTCCACAGGAAAAGACCTCAGGCCCTGGTCCCTGGGGCGTCTCAAAGGCCCACAGGCTGCCAGGAGCAGGGGCAGGGGTAGAGCAGGCTGCTGTGGTCTCCCTTTCTTCTCTGAGACTACAGAGAAAGGAAAGACCGAGAGGGTGAGAGGGCCTGGGCAGGGGCAGGCTGGGGCAATGCCTACTCTACTTTTTCTTTCCTTCATTTCCTATTGTCAGGGATTGGAAAAACAAGGCACTTCATTTTGGGCTCTGACAAAAGTGCGCCTGGACCAGCAGTTCAGGCTATTCCATGGCTATTCATTGCAATCACCTGGGGAGTTTAAAAGAGTCTAATGCCTGGGCCTCTTCCAGTCTAAAGGACCCAGATTCAGGCGGGCTTGTTTTGTTTGCTTAAGCATTTTAAAAGATGCTCAGGAAATTCCAATTTGCAGTCAAGGGAACTACTGCTCTAAAARTGGTGAGTCTCTAGAGGAAGAAGTAGCTGGAGACACGCTGGGTTCCTATAGAATCATTTGCTTTTGTCTTATATAAGCCTATTCAAAATTTTTTGCCCTTAGTCATTTTCTCTGCTGGGAGATATTTGTTTTTTGATGAAGAGAATCTTCTTTGTTATTATTACTCATCACAAATCATGGCTAATTCTTTTTTGCCCAGTTAATTTATTTGTTTATAAAGTGTCATGTCAGCTGCCTCTCAAGTTTGTCACTGCCTTTGGAGGCTAAGGGAAATAAACTAGCAAAGGCTTGACTGAGTGCTGATCAGTTGAATTTGCTAGCAGTGTTTTTGGTCCAAATGTCAGCCAGGGAGCAGAGTCTCAAAGCCACAGGTTGGAGTGAGCTCTCTGGGAGCTCTCTGGAGAGCTCTCTGGGGGTTTGGAAGGAAATTCTTTCTGGATCCACGATCTTATACTCTCTTTACATGCTAATGGACAGCAAATCCTGACTCCATAATCCTCATAGTCTCTTTTTTTCTATTCCTTGAAGTCCTACTAGCAGGAATTTAAAATTCTTGCTAAAAAATGTAAAGGATACATTGCCTTGAATAATTCAGAAGAAAAGGGAGAAAGGAACCCTAGGATATGAGAAGTGGAARCATCTGGGACACACATTGATGTGGGAACCATTATCTTTCCTGGGCCACTGCTAGAGACTTGCCCTGGGGCCAGGGAAGGGGGAGCTGTCCTTCCTGGCAGCTGAGCACCTTCTTAGGATGCTAAAACCCTGAACTCTGCTTTCTGCCACTGAAGAGCTCCAGGTGCCCCTGGACTACACTCAGGTATTCCCTGACTGTGCAGTGTTTTGAAGGATGGATCCATATTCACTCAGTGTGTGAAATTAGATGTAATCTGCAGCTGGGAGGCAGGAGTGTGAGGGGAGAAGTGTGGTTGGGAAGCATGGTCTCAACTCCACCATGAATAATATGTGTGGTCACCTCTTTTCCCCTCCCTTTGTACAACAAAAAAKTTGTGTATGGGTCCTGATGCTCAGTTGGGCTTATTATAGAATTGGCCGGGGAGCTTTTAAAAGCTAACCCTTTGTAGAGATTCCTGTTTGGGATGGGCTCCAGTACCAGTATTTTCAAAAAGCACCTTGGGTGGTTCTCATGTGAGCCAGGGTCAAGAAGAACACTTTAAGGTCTTCTCTGTCTTAGAGCATCTCACAGGGAGGCACCACCTTTTTGGATTTTATTACCCATGTCTGTTCCTGCAGCCCTATATGGGGAATATGAAGCACCTGTCCTCAAGGAAAGTAGTACAGTCTCTTGGTTAAGTGTGCAGTCTCTGGAGAGTTTGAGTTCGTGGTCACTTCTCTGGGCTTCCTCTATACAACGTGGGGATGGTAATTGGCCTGCATCACTGAGTTGCTGCATTAAATTAATTCATGCTTGTAAAGTGCTTAAAATGATGCCTGACACACAGTGCACAGTGAATTTACTAAATATCAAGGAAGGAACTGCATGGAAAGAGGTGCTGGGGTGGGGGGGTTGTCCAGGCATATTCTTGAGATGCAACTGAGGCCGGGAAGTCAGTGGACCTAAGTGTCAGCACCTCCGTCTGGCAGGGCATGCCTGGGGGCACGGGACCCATACTGCGGCTGGGATGGGAAGCAGCAACGTTGCAGCACACTGGAGGACAGTTCCAACATGAGCCTCTGGACCCAGAACATCACAGCCTGTCCTGTGAGAACCCCTTTGTGTCCCCCTCCACCTCAGCCCTCGTCCCTCAATCTAGACTTTGACCCACATCAGTATTCCCCAAGTGCCCTGGGATCTCAAACCTTCCTGCCCCTGCCTCCTGTGACAGGGGTCCTTCCCCTTCTGTGAGTCTGCAGGTGCGGAATGTGACACGGGATGGGGGCTTTGGTCCATGGTCACCATGGCAACCATGTGAGCATTTAGATGGAGACAACTCAGGCTCTTGCCAGTGCCGGGCCCGATCCTGTGACTCCCCCCGACCCCGCTGTGGGGGCCTCAGCTGCCTGGGTCCAGCCATCCACATTGCCAACTGTTCCAGGTATGAAAGGATAGGGCTTGCATAGTGTCGGCTGTCGACTTGGGTGGAAAGAATGGGAGATAAGGGGCATCCCCACCCAACTGTTTGCACTAAGGGACAAAAACCTCTGCAGGGCAGTGTCAGGAACTGAACAGATGACTAACGTCTGAGGCAGGAAACACGAACTCTGGGGAATTTCCCACAACAGTGGACGGGAAGTTTTTACCTTGTGGGGTCTCTTGATGCAAAGAGGAAGGCTGCCCAGGCATGGGAGTCCCTCCCAGACAGGTTAGCCTCAGTGGGTCTTGCTATCCCAAACTTGAGGGACAGGATGAGATGGTGGCCATCCTGGACTATATAGTCTAGAGATGTGACCTTGGCCAGCCACCTAACCACTCTTAGTTTCTCTAAGTAAGGGTTACAGTACCCACCGAAGAGTTGTTGAGAAGGTTATAGGAGATAATGTATGTAAAGAGCTTGCAACTGCCTAGTATCTGGGGACTCCATAAAATGGTTATAATAATGAACCCATTATTTTGAGCACTCTTAAAATAACTATTCCATATATGTTCGCTAATTTAACGGCTCATGGCAACCTCAAGAGGTAGGAATACAGTTGTCCAGCTTACTTGAAAGATAAGGAGCCCTGTGATCACTGGACAATAGTGAGTAGTGTCTGAGGTTGGAGCCAAGCATGTCAGTGCAGAACAGGGGTGAGATTTGGGGTTGGAGTGCAAGGACTGACCAATCAAGAAGGGTGAAAGGACAATTGCAGATGGGAAAGGTGTCTGGGACCTTCTTACAGAGTGTGTCCTTTGGCCTCCATGGGTAGGATCCAGGTTATAGAAGGTTCTCAGTACATGTTTGTGGCATGAATGAAGAAACGGATGAATGGGTATCAGCCTGGTTAAGAGTTGATATTTTCTGTCACCATCTCGTCCCTCCTGATGAAAATACAAATTCCATCTGACCAGATGTGGACCACATCTAAGTAGCTAGGGCTCAAGAGGTGCATCTGTTTCTGTCCCATGTCACTCCACCAGGAATGGGGCATGGACCCCGTGGTCTTCATGGGCACAGTGCAGCACATCCTGTGGGATCGGCTTCCAGGTCCGCCAGCGAAGTTGCAGCAACCCTGCGCCCCGCCACGGGGGCCGCATCTGCGTGGGCAAGGGCCGGGAGGAGCGGTGAGCTAGCGCGTGGTCAGGGAGATCTGAAGACCGACTGCCCTGAGGTCCCACACTTTCCGGGTCTGCTACAAACTGGCCTGGATTTTCTGGGTGACCCAGGGTACTCTCTTCCTTGCCAAGTGACACCTTGTCAGGGGTGGCAGTATCCCTCCTTAGGGTGATGACTCCTCCCCCTCTTCCCCAGGTTCTGCAATGAAAACACCCCTTGCCCAGTGCCCATCTTCTGGGCCTCCTGGGGCTCCTGGAGCAAGTGCAGCAACAATTGCGGGGGCGGTGTGCAGTCGCGTCGTCGGGCCTGCGAGAATGGCAACTCCTGCCCAGGCTGTGGCGTGGTGAGGGCCGGGGCGAGGGGTGAGGGGCCTGGAACTCCAGGGCAGAGTGGGCCTGCAGGCTGCGGGGCTCTGAAACCACCCTCATTCTGAAGGAATTCAAGACCTGCAACCCCGAGGGCTGTCCAGAAGTGCGGCGCAACACCCCRTGGACCCCTTGGCTGCCCGTGAACGTGACGCAGGGCGGGGCGCGGCAGGAGCAGCGCTTCCGATTCACGTGCCGCGCTCCGCTGCCAGACCCCCACGGCCTGCAGCTTGGCAGGAGGAGGACTGAGACGAGGACCTGCCCAGCGGACGGCTCCGGAGCCTGCGACACCGACGGTACAGCCCGGCGCCCTCCGCCCCACCTCCCGGCCCTTGGAGCATCGGGGGCGGGTCGGGGAGGCCGGGAGCGGGAGCCCGGGGAAGGCCCGGGGACTGGAGCGGGTGGCCCGGTTGTCGGCGCCCGCATCGCTGAGGCCCGCGGCCCTCCCCAGCCCTGGTGGAGGATCTCCTGCGCAGCGGGAGCACGTCCCCACACTCGCTGAGCGGGGGCTGGGCTGCCTGGGGCCCCTGGTCGTCCTGCTCCCGGGACTGCGAGCTGGGCTTTCGCGTCCGCAAGAGAACGTGCACCAACCCCGAGCCCCGCAATGGAGGCCTGCCCTGCGTGGGCGATGCCGCCGAGTACCAGGACTGCAACCCGCAGGCTTGCCCAGGTAATCTTGAGGACGGAGCCTTTGGCGTATCGAAATCCTCCATCAGGGAAACTCCGTGGCCCTGGAGGCTCAGTACTACCCAGGAACCCCATGCCCCGGGTCACTTCTTTTTCCTGCCAATCCTGTGCAAGGGCCACTAGAGTATTTTTTTTTTTCTTTGTCCATGAATATAGAGGATACTTCAGTGAAGTGGGGCCTTTTCTTACTCGGCCTCACTTTTTCCTCTMCCCTAATTGGTTAGCCAGATAAGGTGGAGCTGGTTTCTCTCCCTCCGGTTGTCTCTGCTACTGCCTGCATTTTCCCTGCCACATGTGTGCCCTAAGAGTGCCTTTTGAGTGGGGATAGGGTAGGGTAGAGGTGGAGGTGGAAGTCATTGTGGCCCAGGGTGCCTCGGTGCCTCCCTCACACATGCCATCCACTTGCAGTGCGGGGTGCCTGGTCCTGCTGGACCTCGTGGTCCCAATGCTCAGCCTCCTGCGGTGGGGGCCACTATCAGCGCACACGTTCCTGCACCAGCCCTGCTCCCTCTCCAGGTGAGGACATCTGTCTCGGGCTGCACACGGAGGAGGCACTATGTGCCACACAGGCCTGCCCAGGTACTGGGTACATCTGGCTGGGGTTGGGGAGCACCATGGAGCCTCTGATCCCCAGCAGTGGTTCCTGGGGCACTCAGCTGCATCCCAAACAACCCACAGAAGGCTGGTCACCCTGGTCTGAGTGGGGTATATGCACCGAAGATGGAGCCCAAAGCCGAAGCCGGCACTGTGAGGAGCTTGTTCCAGGGCCCAATGCCTGTGCTGGAAACAGCAGCCAGAGTCGCCCTTGTCCCTACAGCGAAATTCCTGGTAGGTTCTTGTGCCAAAACCTTCAGACCAGCCTTTCCTGCCCCAAGCTCCCAAGTTCCCAGTCTGACGACTGTGTCCTGGGCTGGGGTATGTCCTGGAGCAAGATGAAACACCCAGAGGCTCACCTCTTGCCTGGTGCACACACCTGGGGCTCTGGCACTACATAGCTAGTGAACAGGCCAGCCCTTGTAGAGAAGAGGTCTGTGGAGTGGCAAAGGGAGGCCCATTCCTGCACTTTAGTGCTGACCCAGGGGTCCTCCCAAAGCCACACCCAGTCCAGGAGGGAGCCTGCCTCTCTCTACTTTGCCCTAACACTTTCTCCACTTGTCTTCCTGCAGTAATCCTGCCTGCCTCCAGTGTGGAGGAGGCCGCCAGCTGTGGAGGTAAAAGGAGCCACTCATGACACACACTTCTATTCCTCCTCCCCACTCCAAAGCCTGGATTCTTCCTACCTCCCACTTTAGACAGTCAGGCCCACTACTTCAAGGCTGTGTGCAGGGAGACCTGGGTAGTTCCAGCCATGCTCCTCATCTGGGAGGCCATCATCAGTCTATACCTAAGAAAATTATCCATCCACTGATCTTCTGGTGACTCAAGCCTCAGGTTGTCCTGGGGAAGAGGCTCCCCTGTTTCTTTTGGCTCTGGCCTCAAATCCTTTCTTTCCTTTGTGTCCCAGAGCCTCTTATTGCTATTTCCACTCTCAGGAGATAGTCAGGAATCTCTCTTCTTCAAAGTGGTCCTTTTCTTACCACCTGCCTGTCCTTCTCCAGGGTTCAGTCTTATCCACCTGGTGGCCACCGGCGTTTCCTGCTTCCTGGGCTCTGGGCTCCTGACCTTGGCGGTGTACCTGTCTTGCCAGCACTGCCAGCGCCAGTCTCAGGAGTCCACACTCGTCCATCCTGCCACCCCCAATCACCTGCACTACAAGGGTGGGGGCACCCCCAAGAATGAGAAATACACTCCCATGGAGTTCAAGGTGCGGAGCCTTCTGGTAGTAGCAGAAGCCAGGGTGAAGGGAACAGTGGTCCTATCCTTGAGCTGGGCATGACGGGGTGGACAGTGGGGGGCATGCTGGCATGAGGGAGCACTGCCTCAGCATCTGGAACGTTTCTTCACCAGCTGACTCCTGGACCCCTGGCCCTGGCCTGTTCCCTTCCCTACCTCTCCCCTAACCCCTTTCTCTCTGACTTCTTCTTCCCACAGACCCTGAACAAAAATAACCTGATCCCTGATGACAGAGCCAATTTCTACCCACTACAGCAGACCAATGTATACACGACCACCTACTACCCCAGCCCGCTGAACAAGCCCAGCTTCCGGCCTGAGGCCTCACCTGGACAGCGGTGCTTCCCCAACAGCTGATCCTACCATCCTGGGACTTGGGCTCCTTRCCTTCCCAAGGCACAGAGCAGTGGAGATGGGACCGTGGAGCCACTTTGGTTTTCTCCCTCTGCACTAGGCCAAGAACTTGTTGCCTGGCCTGTGGGGATCCAATCTGGCTTCAGAGAGCTCTGGCTGGCGGTGACCATGGGGGAGAGGGCTGGCTTCAGGGCTGGCACATGGCTGCAGATCCAGCTTAGCCCAGGTCTCTCATGGCCTCCTTGTGACCACCATCATGATGACCCTCCCCTGCCATGTTTGAGCTGCAGACCTACTGGGCACGTGAGGAATTGAGAAGAGTGGAGATGGCAGTGTCAGGAGGGCAGGCTGTTGGGTTGGGGTTGGGGTTGGGTTGGAAATGACTTCCAGTGGCTGCCACAGCCAAGTTTGACCCTCTGTGGCTGGCCAGAAGAAAGGCCTTGTCTACATTCAGATTGTCTCTGAAAAGAACTTATCAAATGGCCCAGTAGCTCTGGATCTCTGCCCAGTGCTGGACCATTGTGGTGCTGCCCCAGTATGACATAGGGGACCAGTGCTGGCCCAGGTGGTCTGCCTTGGCCTAGCTATTTGTATTTCACCCAGGGATATTCCTCTGGTCAGAGGCAGTAAGAACTGGGAACCGGAGGCTGGTCTTTTCTGAGAAGCCCTTTAACCTGACCTAGTACAGGTCTCAGCTTGCCCAGAAGAAACAAAAGGTGGCCTGGGAGGAAGGAAGGCTCAATACCATAAGAGGCAAAGTCTGGCTGTGGTGTCCCTATAGAGATCATCTTCCAGTTGCTGCTAAGCAGAGTCGTTAGCTGAGACCTGCTTGGGAGTCTATGCTGGCCCCTCATCTCTTCAGGAACACACACACACACACACACACACACACACACAAGCGCATGTGCGCACACACAGTCACCATCTGCTACAGCAACAGAAAGGATGTTGGACTGTGGCATTATTAATTAAAGATGATATCCAGTCTCCAAATGTAACTCTGTCTTTGCGCATATGTGTGTGGGCCCCTCTTGGCATGGTCCTGGCCATTAGAACAATGCTCCKGGGTAACAGATGGCTTCTCAAGGTGGAGGAAATGACCCAAGTAGAGTGTGACTTTAATAGGGGATATCTTTCCATATGTGGGTTTATGTACACATGCACACATATTGTCCTAATCCTTTTTTTGAAAAAGAGGTTGGGAATAAACAAATTCACCAATGGGGACACAGAGCACACCAAAGGCAAGTGACAGGAGAGACTTATGCGTGTTACCTCAGCAGCTTTTCCTGGCAATATCTCCAGGGTGGAGATGGGGGAATCCTGCAGGAAAGTATTGATGAGGGTTATTTTATGAGATAGCTTCAGTGCTAAGCTTAATAAAACCAAATTGGGAAATGAGTAAACCTGTGAAGTGGGGGAAGCCTAATGTTGTTAGTTTCTGTTGGATTAAATAAAAATAACCTTAAAGCTTCAGCCCACCAAATCAATGCTGCCATTTTGGATGAGATTGATGGACATGTTAAATTTAGAGAGCAATTTCCTAACTTAATTGGCTGGATCAATTCTCCTAAGATTCCCAGCAGAATCTAATTGTAGATGGGGTATAAAGCCTATGATCTGAGGGTTGGAGGAAGTGGAGGCTCTTGGGAGTGGAGGCAGAAGCACTTGAAGCTTGAAAGTGCCTGAAGTAGAGGAGGGGGAGGAACAGAGCCTTCCTGGAGGTCTTCCTGCTTACCTGAGACAGAAATGGGCGGCATCCCCAGAGCCCAAGGGGAGCCCAATCAGAGAAACCTCAGGAAATGTGAATATCTGCTGCTTTGGGATTGCTATTTCCTGTTAGCCTCAAGAGTCCAGAGCTGATAGGGGGCAGTGGGGRCATCTTAGATCCTGGTATCTCCGATTCCTTTGGGCCTGTTGGCAGCCAAAGAAGTTCAAAAGTGTTATAGGATATAGGGTCCAGGTGTCCACCTCTCAGGGCATTCAGGGTATGTTAAATCTTAAGGACTGGAAAGTTTATGTATAGTCATGAGAATTCCTAGGGAATGCCCACCACCTATTGTTGGAATGGCATCACTGGGAATATAAACATTTGGCAATACACACACGCACTCAAACACACACACACACACACACATACACACACTAAATTTTCTGGAAACACAGGCTTTGAAAAGCATAACTATTCAGAATCTATTGAGAGGCTCCACACTGTATGCAGATGAGCTGGCATGGTTGCCAAAGACTTTAGTAACCAGCTCTGTCCCAGAATTGAGGACCCTCAGAGTGCTTCTAGAAATGGAGGGTGTGGTGGCCTGAGTGTGAAAGGCAAGTGGGCTTCCTCTGCCAGAGGCAGATGCAGGATCCAGAGCTCTAGGCCTTCTTGGACAATTTTGTGTTGAGAGAGAGAGAGAGAGAGAGCGAGCATTTTCTTGTTATTAAAGCCATACATATTCATTGCAGAAAATTTAGAGAATGGAGGTTATAGAAATCTTACCACGATTATTCAAAAATCTAAGGCAGAGACTTAGGAATTTTAAATGATGTTGTGAAGATATTTCTTATATTTTTTTTCAAAATCACCCCCCAAACAGAATAGAACACAAAAGTTATGTCACGGTTTTCAATAAAGCTAAGATGTAACTATAATCCCGTATCACAGTGCAGTTGTCCTTCAGTATTCTCAGGGAATAAGCTCCAGAACACCCCCACCACACACACACATACACATGGCTACCAAAATATGTGGATGCTCCAGTCCCTTATGTAAAATGGAGTAGTATTTGCAAATAAGTTATGCACATCCTTCATATACATTAAATCATCTCTAGATTACTTATAATGCCTAATGCAATGTAAATCTATATAAATTAGTTGTTGTGCTTTGTTGATAAGGGAAAAATGACTAGAAAAGTGTCTGCATTTCAGTACAGCTGTAATTTTTTGAAATATGTTCCATCTGTGGTTGGTTGGCTCTGTGGATGTGGAACTTGTGAACAGAGGGGGCCAACTGTACATAAAGACAGAAAGCAGATGGAGTGACAGCAGTCATCTGTTAAGAGTGGATGTGGGTCAAACCTAAATACCCAAGGGATTTCAGAATGAATCAAAAATTGAAGGGAGTAGGTATGAGGAAGATGGAGATCCACGCATAAGCTAGACCTTCAAGTTTTGTTCTTGTTTCATGATTTATCTAAACATTTGGTTTTGTGGGTAAACTAAAGCACAGAAAAACCATATGACAGTATAGTTAGTGGACCTAGGGCCAACACCTTTGTAACAACCCCCTGGATCAAGAAACAACTTTAACAACCGTCCCAACATCCTTTGCTTCATCCCCTCCCTCTCTCCTCCTCCATTCAACAACCAGATGGATAACCATCAGCAACAGGAAGAACAAAAAGAACACAAGGAAAGGAAATGTAATCATCGTTAACCACTTGATTAGAGCATGAGCCTCTGTATAAGGATAGCAACTGAAACTCTGCATTTAGTCTTAATCATAACTTTGTAAAATGTATTTTATAATATTTTTTATCATGGGAGAGACAACATCAGAAGAATAAGTCTCTGAGATCTTGTTACCAACTAAATGTTGGAGTGAATATTAGGGAAGAAAGGAATAAAAACCTCTTTAAAATAATTTCACCCTGATTTTGACCATGGTACATGTTAAATAAAGAATTTTGGAGGACAGAAATGCATATATGCTCCCAGCCAAGACAGGCAGGCTGCAGCCAAGATGGGAACAGGCACCATGCAACATGCACCTCTCTTTGTAAGTAAAAAGAAGAGCAAGAGGGAGAGGAATGGGAAGGAGGAGAAGAAATAATCTTGGAAAACAAAAGTATAAACCTAATAAAAAGAAAATATTAATATCCCGATATCTAACTGAGAAAACTATCATCATTATTCTACTACGTTCTTTTCTAAACTTTTTCTATGGTTATATATGAGTTTGAAAATATTTTATGAAATTAAGACAGACTGTGTGTATGGCTTTATTTTGATTTTAACCCATAACTTTATATACTTAACATTGTTTAAAAATTCTTCTGGAAACCCCAGGAACCCTTTCTGCTGCTGCCCTTTCTCTCTTCTTGAGAGAACTTGAGAGAAAGTTCGATTTTTATATGTTTCATTTATTTACATTCACTGATTTACTTTTAAAAGGTTGAAAATCCTAGGCATTATTATATAAATTTCATTACATAAGAGTATTCATTCTGTTACTTAAATTTATTCTCTATTATATAAATGTAGCCTCCTGCTACATAAATTTGTCATAATTTATTTAAACCATTCTCATTTGTTTCAAAAATTCCTTTACCAAAGCATACTATTAGGGACCTTGTTATGGATTGGATGTGAAGTGTCTCCCAAAAGCTCTTGTGTGAGATGATGCAAGAAGGTTCAGAGGAGAAATGATTGGGTTTTTAAGAATCTTAACCCAATCTGAATTAATCCCTGATGGGGATTCGCTGAGTGGTAACTGAAGGCGGGTAGAGTGTGGCTGGAGGAGGTGGGCATGGGGGCGTGGCTTTGGGGTATATATTTGTATCTGGAGAGTGAAGTCTCTGCTTTCTGATCACCATGCGAGCTGCCTCCCTCTGACACACTCTCCTGCCTTCATGCTCAGCCTCATCTGGAGCCCCGAGGAATGGCTGGCCTTCTATGAACCTCAGTCTCTGAAACTGTGAGCTCCCGGAAAATTTTCCTCTTCTACAGTTGTTCTGGTCTTTTAGTCACAGCAATGGAAAAACTGACTAAAACAGACCTTCTACATATATCTTGTCTTTAGGAGGCATTCCCAGAAGTGAAGGCTGCTAGGTTATAAATACCCATCAGTGGTAGCTACTAGGGTTAGTAATAATAAAACRAGAATTCACTACGGGTGGGAGTGTACCTTGTTTAATCCTCTGAAGGAAATTTTGGCCATAGACATAAAAACTACACAGGGGTGGTTCATCTGGAAAACTGGAGGGCAATGAATCTATCATCAG